ATTTCAGCCATTGACTGTACTGACGTGTGAACACGGGCGTTATCTTGATGAAACAGGACTTTTCTTCTGAGCATTCCTCGACGTTTTTCTTTTATTTCCTCTCATAAACGACGTAGTAAGGTGCAGTAGTAATCAGAATTTATAGTCTGACCCCTTTCAAGATAATCAATCATAATCACACCATTCGAGTCCCAGAATACTGAATCCATCACCTTATTTGCCGACAAAATCGACTTAGCCTTTTTAGGGGGTGGTGAACCAGGTCTTCTCCACTGTTTTGATTGTTGTTTTGTTTCCGGTGTACAGTAATGAACCCATGTTTCGTCCATAGTAACAAAACGATTCAAAAAAATCATCTGCATCGGCTTCAAATAACTCCAAACAGTCGCGTGAAATAGTCAATCGCGTCCTTTTTTGTTCAACTGAAAGCAGTCGCGGAACCCACCTCGCAGACACCTTGTGGAAACCCAACTCGTTGACAATGATGTTTTAAGTTCGTTCATAAGAGATGCCCATAATCTCGGCTATCTCTCTAATTTTTAATCTGCGGTCTCCCATTATTAAATCAAGTACTTTTTTAATATTTTCGTCAGTAGTTGACGTCGAAGGCCTTCCAGAGCGGGGTTCATCTTTCACACTCTCTCTACCACGCTTAAATTCTGCTATCCATTTTTTTACGGATGAATATGACAGAGCACAATCGCCTAATGTACTGACCATGTCATCATGGATGGCTTTTGATGATAGCCCCTTCTTATGGAGGTACTTAATGACGGCACGCTGCTCGATTTGCTCCATTCGCGGAAATTATGTCCGATTACTTTGTTAATAAATTTATAAAATCACAACTAATTATCGCACACGTTTCGAACTTCACACAATGAACTAGTCTGAACTGAACTAATTAATGTGAGTAGATTTGATTTTTAGAATTGAATGGATCTGTGTTAGGCCGAGTACTTTTCAATCCACCTAGGTACAAAAAGTTAACATTGAAACAAGTTATTTATTAAATAAAATCAAAAATTGAATACAAATAAATGGAACACTTTGAAATAAAAAAGTCCGAGTTCGATCCCCAAAAGCATCAACGATTGAGGACTGTATTTTTAAACACCACGTGATCAACACTTAGGAAAATATCTTGAGGAGCCTGCATGTCTGAGAAAAAAGGAACACCTCAATTCCAAACAGGGCAGCACGGTGGGTTCTTTCCCGCTCTAATAATCAAGGAATTCCATACCGAGGACGTATGTAATTTGTTACTTTAAATTTTTAAGAAAAAGAGAAGAGAAATCATACTATAATTAAACTGCTTTTCCGATGCAAAAGACTTCTATAATAATATATTAAAGACAATTTACGCCAGACCCTTAGTATTCTCCGACTTGAACAAATTTACTCTTTAAACCTTCTGTTACCGCAGCTTTACAGAGAAACCGTTAAAGAGATAATATTTCAATGTTTAAATTTGAAACATAAATATTGATTTAAACAGGGAATGATTTTTCTAACTAAAAGGTTTATAATGCTTGGATAAAAATATTTATTCTCTTAAATACGGTGGAGTATAACACACTGTAATTGTTTTTTTATATTCATGTTATTTATCACTAGCTCCGCCCCGCGATTTCACCCGCGTATATCTGAGCTGCGCAACACGAGATGACACCTATTTCAAGCATTTTAGATAGCAATGTATGGAAAAATTGGCAAACATAATGGAGAATTTTTATATATCGGCATATGTATGTTATAGAGCGAAGTATAATTTTATGCACTCTCCCTCCCCCTTCCGGGTGACCGTTACCTTCCTCGCCTCAGAAAGTGTTCCGAACTGTTATGTAATTTACTTTCTTCATATTTTTCATCCATCAATTTATATAAAGGCCATTGAAAGATTACGACTGGATGTATACCTCACTTAGGGTAGTGATAAATTACAGAATTATATTAATAAAAAGGATCCTCACCATGAAAATTGGATTGACAATCCCAGTTCTGTATATTTCTTCTTAGGTTTTGCTGCCTTTAATCTGTATTTGGTATTTAGAACAAGCTATTGTATAAAAGATATTCTACGAATTAAAATAATAATAAATAAAATTCTATTAATTTTAAAATTAAAACTATATTAAATTTTCGTTCATATAACTATATTTCCATTTTTATACCGTTACAGCCTATTACAAGTTCACTATCAAACACTAACCCGTAAACTATTTTATATGGACTTATTAACCTTAGTTAATACAGTTTGCAGGTGGATTACGAACTGCAATTTTATTTTTATTTTTACATGTTATTATGAAGACGCTGCTATCCTTGTTTAACTTTGTCGACTGTTACTGCACTCACGGTATGATATAGGATAGTGAATATTCTCTCAGGGCGACAACACGGTCAGTGGTCGCAACGCATCAGAATTTTAATTCTTAATCTATGATAGATGTAGATTTCTATGTGCCATAGCATCTATTTTCTTTCCGTTAGGCTATACGTTGTAGTGCCATGCCGCATTTGTATTATCGTTGTAGCACGAATGGATCGGCACGACAGAGGTAGGACCACGCTCCCACAGAATACTGGTGTAAAATAGCATCTTAATGCTACTGTGTTTCATATAGGGAGTTTAGAGTACCAGGAACCCTTTTAACTGGAAACAAGGCATTAAATTTCCGTCTACAGGAATAACAACGCATTTGCATTTTATTTCTTAATCGAGGATAAATGTAGATATCTATGGACAACATCATCCACTTTCCATCATGTAGAATGTATGCTCGTTTGTCACCATTATTCTACAAAACAAAATGTGCAAGTCTATCAATCTTATTCTAAGATTATTTACGTGGTAGAACCATGCTGTAGCTATAATTTGTCACTTAGTTCTAACAAGAATGGGTTGGCTCAATCGTGGAAGGACCACGATCTTTCGATATACCAGCGAAAAGTATCAGCCCAACGCTATGTGTTTTGTATGGTAAGTATAGAAAACCGGAGAGCCGTTTTACTGGAAACGAGATATTCCATCTCAGTTCTCATGGGGGACAATGCATATGCATGTTGATAGATGTAGACATCTGTGGGCCACAAAAACTACTTACTACCAGGTGGACTGTGTGCTCGTTTGTCGCTCTTATCTTATAAAAAATGAAGAAAAAATGGCTTTATAAACGCTTAATCCCAGAAAACAACAGTGAAAACACAGCTGTTTCCACTTTCATATACTACAGTTAAACCACAACAAAATAATCATAAATGATTGGTCCACACTCCTGTTATTCATTATTAAGTAATAAATATTTTGTAAAAAAAAAAAACACTTTTTAGTCTAAATTTTTAATTAGTATATTTAATTTTGAATGAAGAATTTATAGGTCTTTTCTCTAAATCCATCAAGTGTTAATAGAATTTAACGTGCTTCAATATAAAGTCTATAAATTATTACTACGTAATACGGATTTTCTTCATCATCTTTTTACATAATAATATTTGATTTTGTGCATCATTTTGTGTTTTAAAGTGTTGAATTTTGACGTCAAAGCGTATATATTACTCTTAAAATTAATTACTTGAAGTGATTAATGTCATGGCTTTTATCATAACATATTGTAGTTAGTCATCATACACGTCATGTAAGGCTTTACTTACAAAAGGTTCGCTTGAACGGAGCGCTTAGCCCCTGAGCTACCACGGCTCACTATTTATTGTAATGTTATCATTATAATAATATTATTTTGTCATTTTGTGATGAACCTTTAAATTAATAAATACTGTAATTTTATAGTCGAATACTTGCAGTCAAATTAAAATGATAACAGTTAAAACCAGGAAGTTAATAGAACCTAACGATAAGTTTTTTATTTTTGCGGAAAGCATATGTTGTTGTGAACTTAATTTGCATAATATTGTATTGCGGCACACCGCTCCGCTGCGAGTTTGTATTATGTTTGTTTTTGGAATAGATACAATTCTCTGCAGCAATCAAAACGAAATCCGCAATATTCATGCACTAGACATCCAAAACATTGAAAGTGAATTGAAAGAAACACAAACAACAACAACATGGTACCGTAAACATCGTTTATGTTTCGTTCGTGATTAAATAATCATAAATAGTGTTAAAAGGTAATAGATACTAACAAAACTCATATCATTTCAAAGTGCATCGAGTATAGTGTTTGCTAGTGCAATAAGAATTTTGTTATGTTAACAGCCATAACAACAAACTCAGTGTACATTTTGGTGGCGTTAATTATTAATTCACCGTCATCAGTAACAAATATCAAGTGCGGGTCGTTGTTATACGTGCATTCGGTCGATTTCGGTGGAGCTCGGGCCGATTCGCTTATGACTAAGGAGTACCTAGTTGCGTCTCCTCACCTCTGTGAATCTCGTGCGTTAGCGTTGGCGCTCGGGGCACTTCGGAGATCGACTACAAAGTGCTACGAACTTTGCTACGATACGCTATCGCATTGCGGCTACGCATTATCGTTCATTGGCTACAAATGTGTACGCGACTTTTGTTAACATCTTGAGTATTTGGTCTTGATTATTATTTCGAACTATTCGATTCAATTACGAGCATGGAATGTGGTGCGTGTAGACACATTATCAAAGATGGCGGCCTCATTAAATGCGCTGGTTGTGACAATACGTTTCATTACGAGTGTTGCAACATAGAGAAGCAAGTGTATTTCGACGAATACGTGGAAAAAAAGCAGAAGTGGTATTGCCCATGCCGTACTAATATAACTCTGTAGTAAGTTGGTAAGCGCGACATACGTTCCCTCCAAGCAAGTCAGGCAGATATTTCTAATATTTCCTGTGATGAAAAGCTGCAACGATCATCACGCTTGAAAAAATCTAGTAACAGTGCATCTCAACACGCGTTGCGACAAAAAAACTCGGACTCCGTTACCATAGAATAAATCGAAGCTCTACTCGATCGTAAACTAAGTACTTTCAAGATAGATGTAGTGCAAGAAGTACATACAATGGTGACGAAAGAATTTAACCATACCATCAATAAGTTAGAATCGGATTTCACAGTAGCCACCGATTTTCTTCAGAAAGGGCAGGATGACCTTCTAAAGGAACTTGAGGTGGCTAATAATAAAATTAAAACCCTAGAACTTGAGCGAACTACACTTAAGTCAAATATTAAGTCATTAGATCGTCGTTTAATGAGCGTCGAAAAAATCTCACGAAGCCATAACGTTGAAATCCAAATGGTTCCGGAAAAACGTCATGAAAATTTACTACATCTTATACAAAAACTTTATGACACCGTGAATGTAACTCTGGATACGAACTGCATCTGTGCTGTTCGTAGAATTGCTAAAATTAATCCAAAGTCCGACAGACCACGAAACATTCTCCTTACACTACAAACTGAGCGGCAGAGGGACATTTTATTATCGGCAGTAAAACGTTACAACAAGACTAACCACCCCAATCACTTAAACTCTACCTGCCTTGGGATTGAAGGAGAATATCGTGCCATATATGTAAATGAACATCTCTCTTCTACTACCAAAAAGCTTTATGCTGAAGCTAGGAAGTTTGCGAAAGATAACTCATACAAATATGTTTGGGTTAAATATGAACGTATGTACATGCGGAAAAATGACAACGAATCAGCATTATTGATTAGAGACTTTAGCAACTTTGAGAAACTTAAAGTAAAGTGAGTTTGTTTTAGATTACGTGAATTAAAAAAATTGTAATAGCTGAATTGACTGATACATTTACTTGGATTCTTAACAACGTTCTTACATGAAATTTTACTACCAAAATGTAAATCGTATAAGATCAAAGACAACAGAGTTATATTTAAACATACTAAATTGCAATTACTATTCTATTTGTTTAACTGAAACAAACTTAAATCACACTGTATTTGATAATGAGCTGTTCGATTGTCGTTACATTGTATACCGAAGAGACCGAGAGTCTACTTGTATTAACAAATCTGAAGGTGGAGGTGTACTGATAGCTATTAAAAAGGAGTTTAAGGTAATTCGCCATAAAGAATGGGAGAGTGACATTAAAGAATTGTGGATATCGGTTTTGCTCGATTATCCAATGAAGTCTGTCATTAACCTATGTCTCTGTTACCTTCCTCCTGATTTACCCTCTAATAAACTTAAGTACTTTTACGAGAACTTACATAAAAATTTAAGTACAATATCCTCAAATGACGCTAATATAGTACTTGGAGATTTCAATGTGCCAAGTTTATCATGGTCTGTTAATCTAAATGGTAATAGTCCTTACCTTGCTCCAAGCTGTCCCACAGACTCTAAGGCTACATTATTATGTGATTACATTTCTCAGTGCAATTTATATCAGATGAATCATATTCGGAATGAATTAGATCGCACTTTAGACCTTGTTTTGTCCTCCTCTACTAGTATTTTAATTTCTGAAACTAGTCCATTATCCCGTATCGATAAATATCACCCTTCACTTGAAATATCGGTTAACACACTGTCTAAGCCAAAGTATATCAAACCTAAGTATAATAAACGTTTTAATTGCCTTAATTGTTTTAATGACTTGCAGAAAAGAAAAAATTCCATAAAAAGTATAAAATGTATGGTAATCCCCGAGATTACGATACATTTTCCATGCTGCGTGCTAGATCCAAGTCTCGGTTGGAGGAATGTTATTCTGCTTTTATTAACGTAACTGAAGACGCTATCAAAACGAATACCAAAACTTATTGGAGTTTTGTTAATAACAGAAAAGCTAAAAAAGGTATCCCAAGCACAATAACGCTTGGTAATGCCAGAGCTTCAGACGCAGCAGGAATTTGCGATTTACTATCGCAGTACTTTAGTTCAATATTCGAAGATTCCACCCAATCAGTACTGCCATCACTCAAAATGTGTGAAAATGTGCTATCGGAATTTACTGTGTCAAAACATGATGTAACTCTTAAATTAAAGCAACTAAATCTTAATAAAGGGGCAGGACCAGACCAAATACCACCTACATTCCTCAAAAGATGTGCTACTGAACTAAGTCTACCCTTGACAATTCTCTTTAATAAGTCTTTAAGAGCAGGGTCGTTTCCATCAGAGTGAAAACTTGCACATGTTGTTCCAATACACAAATCAGGTGATTATTCGTTATGCGAAAACTATAGACCGATCAGTATTCTTTCTTGTATCGTGAAAGTGTTTGAATCTGTAATATATGATCGAATTTATTATCATGTACAACCAGCTCTCTTTGAGCAACAGCATGGTTTTGTCAAGGGAAAGTCCACAATATCAAATCTATTGGAATATAAGGCATATCTTTGTTCAGCCTTCGCAGTAAGTGGTCAAGTTGACACAATATATACCGATTTTTGTAAGGCTTTTGACAAAGTGAATCATGCATTGCTTTCTCAGAAACTCAAGTGGTACGGCATCCATGGTAATTTGTTCCGATGGATACAGTCTTATTTAGAAAACCGTAGCCAATTAGTTACTGTAAAGGGGTATAAATCAACTGCCGTCATCATTAAATCAGGTATACCACAAGGATCTCATCTGGGCCCTCTATTTTTTCTTATTTTCATAAACGACCTAATCCCAAAACTAACCTGTCCTTGTCTATTATACGCAGATGACCTCAAAGTGTTCAAGAAAATTAATGACCGTAATGATTGTATTGATTTGCAAAATAATGCTAACACAATTGCTGACTGGTGCAAACAAAACTGTATGTACTTACATATAAAAAAATGTTTCGTTATTTCTTTTACCAACAAACGCAATAAAATAAATCACGATTATATACTTGAAGGTCAAATTCTTAAGCTTAATTCAGTTGCAAAAGACTTAGGTGTTTACTTTGATGAAAAACTTACTTTCAGAAATCATTATGATTACATTATTTCTAAGTCATACAAAACATTAGGTTTTATTACCAGAACAACCAAACATTTCAAAAAATCATCCACATTTATACATCTCTTCTATGCTTTGATAAGAAGTACTCTTGAGTATGGTTCTGTTGTATGGTCTCCATTTTACGAAGTGCACTCCAAGCGTCTAGAACAGATCCAAAACAAAGCTCTTAAGATAGTTAGTTATAAGCTGAAAATAAGTCGCATGCTACCGTCTTATCAGGAGAGACTACTTACATTTGGAGTTTCATCACTGCGTAATAGACGTGCTATACAAGATATTCTTTGCTTACATAAACTAATACACTGCAAAATTGTTTCCCCAAATCTTTTATCCCAAATCACTTTCAATATTAAGTCAAATCCCAGGCGTCGTCTTAATACGTTTATATTAAACGTCTATAAGAACAATACTTAATAATATTGTCGTAAAATTTGTTAAATTTATAAATTGTTATTTTTTTGAGTAAAATATAATACATAAATATGTTTACGGATAATTCATGTTGCAACTGTATGTACGCGTTTTTGGTTTGTATTCCAGGTCAAAACTTTGTGTATAATAGGTATTTATGTTACGTAAAATTGAATGTAAACTGTTGTGTACATCCAATAAAAGAAAAAAAAAGTGTTTTTTTTTCTTCGAGGGTAAATTAACTCCACATGTGCCTTACGTAACACTTATGTAGTAATACAATACAATACAATAACTTTATTTAAGGCATCAAGAACTTAAAAATTAAGAGCATTGGCCCATGGCAATATATACCTTAACCTAAAATATATATATATATATATATATATATATATATATATATATATATAAATATATATATAAAATATAAATATAACACTATTTAGGGAACTTTCTTCTTTGATGCGTCCCTGTATCGGCGAAACACCACCCCAGAGGGCCAGAAATCGGGAGCAAGGAATGTCTCTTTGTATTTTGCAGAAACCTGGGGTACGTAGGATTTGAAGTTCGTGGATCTCTTAGACTGCAGACGCTGAAAATGTAAAGAGATCGGATCCTCTATGCGGCATCGGCTTCGTTCTTCCACGAAACGCAGGACGTCTTCTCCCGACGTACTTGTGTCCAAACGGGAGATGTAGAGCTATATGGTGGGCTCCACAATACGCAGAGTTGTGCTTGCGTTTATTTTGGCGGTCCCACGCTGGTTACACACGGGTCTCGACCGACGTCTCTTCTCAACAAGAGTAAACCCATCATTCTCTCTCTTGGTTTTGGTCACCACAGGAAATGATTTTACATCCATATTCTTTTGTTTTCGACCACATGAGGGTAACGGTTGCGAAGATTTTCGAGCAACATCCGCAAACGTCTTTTCTTGTTTAAAGGTTGGCTTCGGCGGAGAAGTACTCAAGGGTTCAGTCAAGCGCTGAGGTGGTGATGCAATGACGACCGAGTTCGCCCTAGTTTCACGGTCATCAACCCGCTGACAAACGATATCACGTGACGGAGTCGCAATCATCGGTGAAATTAATTAATTTCGGAATTAGGTAATTTCGGAAGCCTAGAACAAATAAAAACATAACCATAATACTATTGACCAAACTTGGATTTTGTTATTCTGTCCTCATCATCAATTTCCTCCCCATATTTTTCTTAAAGTAATTGCAACAAACAAGCTCGCACTTTGTCTTATCAGAAACTATCGTAAGTGGATGATGTGGCCGACAGATACGACGTCTAACTCCTATTAAGAATCAAAATGTAAATGCGCTGTCAGTCCTGATTAATTGAGTTCCACCTATCCTGTAAATTCCTCCCTGGTTCTCATCAATGACCATACTAAACACAACTGCGTTATGCTGGTATTCTGTTCGAGTGTGGTCCTTCCGCATATCAAGCCGATTTATTTCTTAAATGAATTTAACAATATAGATATTGAATTTGGATTAAAGCTTGCGTGAATTGTTTAGAGTTTAGATTAAACGGTAGAGACCTGTACTTCATAGGCTGTCTCAACTATATCAATTTTCAGCTGACTTATGAAAAGTAGAAAGTTTACAAATAGCACGTATGTTTTTTTGTACATAAGTTTGTTACGCGATATCTTCGTCAACTACAAATCAACTTTGATGATTTTTAATTTTATTATTAATTATGTTATACTTTAGGTGTGGTTCTATATGAATTTACATGTACCTTGCGGCATTTTGAGCTGCTTTTTAATTATATTAAAATTATATTAACGTGGTAGAGCCATACTGCAGTTATATTAGTAGTTATAATAGTTTTAGCACGAATGAGTCGGCTCGACCGGGGAAGGATCACGCTCTCACAGAATACCAGCGTGAGCTACTATAGTTTAATGCTGCTGTGTTTCGTATGGTGAGCGTAGAGAACCGGAGAGCGTTTTAACTGGAAACGAGGCATTCCATCTTAGTTCTCAATTGAGGATAGATGTAGATATCTATGGGCCGCCGCAACCACTTACAATCATGTGAACTGTGTGCTCGTTTTTCACCCTATCCTATAGAAAAAAATCTATATGTTATGGTAGGAGGATGTTGTGGCCCATAGGCCCTTCTTAATATCTTAATAAAATATAAATAATTAATAGTCAAAATGCAGATACGTTGTCACTCCTGACGAATAAGATGTAATTTCTCGTTTGCAGTAAAAAGGTTCTCCAGATCTTTACACTCACCATATTAAGCTTCTATTTTATGCCGATACTCTGTGAAAGCGTGCACCTTCCCCGATCGAGCTAATCCAGTCATGCTACAACCAAAATATACCACCTATAGTTAAAATATAATAGT